TATAATATAATATAATATAATATAATATAATATAATATAATATAATATAATATAATATAATATAATATAATATAATATAATATAATATAATATAATATAATATAATATAATATAATATAATATAATATAATATAATATAATATAATATAATATAATATAATATAATATAATATAATATAATATAATATAATATAATATAATATAATATAATATAATATAATATAATATAATATAATATAATATAATATAATATAATATAATATAATATAATATAATATAATATAATATAATATAATATAATATAATATAATATAATATAATATAATATAATATAATATAATATAATATAATATAATATAATATAATATAATATAATATAATATAATATAATATAATATAATATAATATAATATAATATAATATAATATAATATAATATAATATAATATAATATAATATAATATAATATAATATAATATAATATAATATAATATAATATAATATAATATAATATAATATAATATAATATAATATAATATAATATAATATAATATAATATAATATAATATAATATAATATAATATAATATAATATAATATAATATAATATAATATAATATAATATAATATAATATAATATAATATAATATAATATAATATAATATAATATAATATAATATAATATAATATAATATAATATAATATAATATAATATAATATAATATAATATAATATAATATAGACAAAATGATATATCTTCTGTTATGCATTTCTGAGCATCCTCGTGTTGACTGCTTTGTCTGTCTTGTCTCCTGTTGTTGTCCTGTCCTGTCCTGTTTTAGCTTTGGTGTTTCTGTGTATTTATTTCAGGGCAGCCCTACACAAGCTCCGCTTTCTGGATTTCGCCTCTGAAACTTGGCTGGTTATTTATTATTTTATATATGCATTATTATTACTTTTGAGAAATAAATGTTCTTTTGAACTTTTGATGTATATATGTGAGGCCAGAAGCAGTGATGTTAAATTGATTTTTGCCTATGCATACATTTCATTTAATTAAGTTCTCCATATGTTTCAGTACAGGTACGTGAAAAACAGAAGCATGAATGCAAAAAACATCTTCAAGCCTCTGTTTCGTAAGAAACATTTCGCAAACAATGATGTTTCAACAACAGAGTTAAAACGTTGCCTGAACACGGTGGACCTAACGTTTCTTGGTATTGGAAGTACGCTTGGTGCTGGCGCTTATATCTTGAGTGGACAGGTCGCTAAGGAAAAAGCTGGACCAGCGGTCGTTCTCTCTTTTTTAGTTGCAGCTATTGCATCGCTTTTAGCAGGTATGATTGGCAGGTCTTTAAATTGTTTTTAAAAAGATTAAATTTTCCTGTTTCAGTCGAGAATAGAGACCTAAATGCGTATTGACGTAGGTCAGTTGGAAGGACTTTCTTTCACAAAATATATGATTTACTGAATTGTTTTACTGTGTTTAATATAGGTCTATGTTACGCTGAGTTTGGAGCACGAGTACCTCGCACCGGATCTGCGTACGTATATAGTTACGTCACAGTCGGTGAAATATGGGCCTTTGTGATTGGATGGAATCTTATACTAGAATACGTCATTGGTAAGCACAATCAATCAATAATTGATTTACAAAAATGCATTATTATAGGCGGGCTATAACCAAACAATGATAATATACAACATAATATGATAACGATTATATAATAATTAGGCACGAGATTCTATGATGATACAATAATTTATTGTTGGAATAATTTAAGATGTTTTGGGAGTGACCTAATATTTGTCATAAAATCTGAAAAAAAAACTCCTCAGAATTTTAACTAGGGCATTGCATTTCTTATTTAAAATTATCAAATAGGCCTACGCTATTAACTTCCAATACAAAACAGATCAAACCAAATTTCGATTTACAGTGATTTTACTAAAAAAACCATGGATTGATAACCAAAAATATTGAAAAATGTATACGTTTAATTGGCGAGATATTCTATCATTTTAATTCTATTTTAAATTTGTTTAGCATATCAAGATTAGGCCTATTATTACGAAAGGTTAATGGCTAGAAACAGGGGAGGATTCAGAAATTTTCAAACGGGGTGGGGGGGGGTGGAGCACAACAGTTTCAGCATAGGTAAATGAGTAGCAAATAACATTGATTTGCATTGAAATTTTTATAATTTAGTGGCAAAACGGGCCCCCTCCTGGATCCGCCCCTGAGAAAACTCTCCTGCCACTATATGTGACCATTATTGATTTAGATGCAAAAGTTTCTTAGAAGCAGTTATTTGAATGTTGCACGTGGTACTTATCCTTGACTCTACTGACAAGCAGCATTTTGAAACCAGGGCCGGCGGAACGTTTTTCAAAGTGGGGTGGGGGAGCCACTTGTAAGATGAATGTGAATATGAATGGGTTCAAAATTAGGGGTTGGGGTGGGCCAAAATTTTTCCCAAAAACCTCAAAAAGAGAAGGCGGTCCTGGGGGGGGGGGGGCTCCCCCGAGAAAATTTGACACCTGAATGGGGGAAATGAGCTTTCCCGAAATTTGAGGTGTCTTTAATTATTGTTCTTCAAAATTTAAGGTTTTTTTCCCTCTTGAAAACGGTCTGGTAGGCCTAAATTTTTCTCATAGGCCTAAGGCTTATTTTAATTAAATGCACAACCTACAACATGTGTGCATTTAATTCTCTGACAGGAACATCGAGTGTTGCTAGGGCCTGGAGTGCGTACTTTGATACGCTAGTAGATGGAAAGATTGAAGCATATACTAAAGAACATTTGCACTTTAACGTCTCTTGGATGGCCGAGTACCCGGACTTCCTAGCATTTAGCATTTGCATTGTGTTGTCAAGTAAGAAATACATATTGATATCATGTATAGGAGATCTCGTTTACAATGTTGTCCACTGAAAAGCCGGGCACTCACTGCGCCCGACGGTCTCGGTCGACGCGACTCTATGCAGAACGCAACGCGACGACGCGCGCGCTTTTAATGACGACCCGTTCTGACTACCCCTGACAATTAGCAGACGGCGTCGCGTCGTCTAGCGCTCACAGAAGCGGAGCTGGATTCGTCGCACGACGCAGTGAGCGCCCGGCTTAAGTGATCGAGTAATTATACCCACTTTCAAGATCACGATTATTACCAATGTGCCAAAATAACTTTAGGACACTAGTATTTTTTCAGGAATTTAAAAAAGTTGTTAAACATAATTTTATATTTCTGTGACAAACAAATAAAACAGGTCTACATGTTTATTTAACTTGCATTATTTTACAGATATATTTTTTGTTGCTAAATACGATCCATGTACCGAATTCATTGTTTACGTATGGTTGTGTGAGCCTGTCTTATCACCGTTGTAGCATACTTTATATTGGATTGTATTCTATATAGGCCTACACATCTTACTTTTATTTCTATCTGCACTCGTCCATGTCATTAATTTTGTTGCTCAACCTGAATCTTCCTGACTTGCAGTTTTGTTATCAATTGGAGTGAAGGAATCGTCGCGATTCAACACAATCTTTACCATCGTGAACTTACTAGTACTTACATACGTCATAATCTGTGGATTGTTCAAAGCCGACGGGGACAACTGGAAGATCCCGGAAAATCAAATCCCGCCGGAATATGGGAAAGGAGGATTCTTTCCGTACGGATTTTCGGGAATGATTGCCGGTGCAGCTACTTGTTTCTACGGCTTCGTTGGATTTGACTGCATAGCGACAACAGGTATGTTGACACTTAAAGAAAATAGTGTCAATTTTATCATGATAGGCCTACTTTCCCTCTAATTCTAAAACCATAGGGGAAAATTCTACGAAAAGTTACGAAAACTTCCGAAAAAAAAATTCAGCCCATACATTGGCGAGTTGATTGCCCGAGCGGTTAAGTCAGGGGCACCGTAACATTCAGCTATAATTTTGGCGCTGGTTCGACAAGGACTTTAAACCGTATAGTAGGCCCAGCTGTGTACGCATTTGTCCCGTGTGCACTTTAAAGAACCCAGTGCATCCTTCGAGAAGAGTAGGGGTTACCCCAGTGTACAGGTCCAATCAGTCCCCTTGTAGTGGATATTCCACCTAATATAGTGATTAAGTTTGCTGATTGGCATATCCTTGGCGCTCGTGCCTAAAGAAATGAAATGAAACATTTATGTTTCATGGCCTGAAAAAAAACTTTATACCTGAAAATCTTGAGAATAGGGTGTAGATCTAATTGTGCAAAAAACTGTATGAGAAAGAAATCAATTAATTTGATTTATTTTTGAAAATAAACCACTGGCATTTTTGCGATGGTGGCGGTGATAACAAAGCTTCTTACAATGCAATACCTAAGTATTGTAAAAATACAACTTTATTTGACAATTTGTAATTGATATTTGGCATATCCATGCTCTCCTTTTTCTTAATCTCCTACAGAAAGTTGGGTAGTTAAAAGCCATAAATGTTACAAATTTAATGAACTTAATTCATCCGCAGCCAATCAAGTCAGTACTGTAATTATTTCTATCTGAATTATCTGAACAATGAAAATTATTAATAATAATAATAATAATAATAATAACAATCAATAATAATAATAATAACAATCAATAATAATAATAATAATAATAATAATAATAATAATAATAATAATAATAATAATAATAATAATAATAATAATAATACGATGAGGATGATGATAATGACGACGACGGTAATGGTGACTATTTGTTTAACTAAAAGTATATATGTTTACATTCTACAGGAGAAGAGGCTGAGAATCCAAGGCGGGCAATTCCTATAAGTATAATGCTGTCTCTACTCTTCATATTCATTGCATACTTCGGAGTTTCTGTAACAATCACTTTAATGTGTCCGTACTATCTGTTGGACGAGAAAGCTCCACTGCCATTCGTGTTTGATTACGTAGGTTGGACTTCGGCTAAATACGTCATATCTGTTGGCGCAGTATGTGCGTTGTCGACCAGGTTAGTTGTTATAATTATGATACATTCAGAAAAGGTAGGCTTAACAGATATGCCTATTAAACAGTCGATCATAGAAAAAATTTAAAAAAATAAATAAAATTAGAATGCAAGTATTTTCATAACTCTCTCTGTATCTCATATAGTCTGTTGGGGGCAATGTTCCCTCTACCCCGAGTCATATACGCCATGGCAAGTGACGGTATAATTTTTCGGTTCCTATCTCGGGTCAGCAGTCGGTCCAAGACACCAATCCTAGCTACAATTATATCTGGAATTTTTGCAGGTAAATCTTGATAGACCTTTCAACGTACTTATTAAGCCACTGATGCTAGAGGAACTGTGCTGCGTTTAATTTCGCATCTCATCAACAGTATTTCTTTATTTAAATAAGAAGTAATCGAATAAAATGTACATGAAAATATAGGTCATTGTTCATTAAAGCAATCGCAAGGTACAAAAGGATTACGAAATAGACACATTACAAATTTACAAGAATTTAAAAGAGGAATTCAAATCTGTTAAATCTCCTCCCCGTATCTTATGCGACCTTGTAGCCAGCGCATCTACAAATCTTCACTGTTCAAAAATCCCAACTGAATGTAGGCCTATCCCAACAAACCTAATTCCCGATATTTGCCTTTATTGACCTGATCTCAAAAAACACACTATCGAACACACTATCATAGAACTCACTGTTCCATTTGATACTTCAATTGATGCTGCTCATAACAGAAAGTTGGAAAGTACTGTACTCCCCTTTAGTTACTGACCTTTCAGATGATGGCAACGATGTCGACCTGATAATTGTGTTTGAAGTTGGTTCACGTGGGTTCATCTCTTTAAAATATATTCAGACTGTTTTAAATTTATCACGCCCAAGCCAGTACCATTCAGAGTCTTTTGTAATATAAACTTTCGTGATAACCTTTCAAAATTAGCAATCGTTTCCTCATTTTCAATATTAAATGCAAACAATAAGTCTACATGGACTTAGTGTCTCCCTCCTTTAAAAATTAAGTAATAAGCAATATTTTTCTAAAATTTTTCAATTTAATTAGGCCTACTCATAAAATTGTGCAATTCTCACGAAAACTTTTCTGTTTTTCTCGATTGTCATTTTTTTATGTGTTTTTGCTCCCTTGTCCAATTTAAAGATGTAACTTCGAGAGTTTTTATTCAATATTTTTTTTCCTTTTATTTAATTCATTTTATTTCATATGTTTGTCTGCTGTCATTGAAAGGAATACATTTGTGTGTATATTTTTATATGGATAGAACGAATAAGTCATTCTGAAACCACGGCACACCCTTGTTCTCCTCAGGATCTGACAAAGTTTCCAATAAATTCTTTACCATTAACAAAAATTTTACTAATATCGATGTTCTGTTCCAGGTACAATGGCGTTGGTATTTGATCTTGATGAACTAGTAAATATGATGTCAATAGGAACTCTACTTGCTTACACGTTAGTTGCTTTCTCTGTTATAGTGCTAAGGTAAGTGATAAACTAATATTTTTAAATTTATGACCCGTTTTTTGCAGACGACCATCCGTCCGTTATTGCTATAGTTCCAATTAAATACTCCATCAAGATTTCTAGATGTTATCAATATAGCAGAATTATGAAATCATGTTCTTATTTTTAGATATAAAGCTAAAACGACCGAAGACCTGAATGGCGTAAATGAAAACTTTGACGCCGCACCACATAGGAAACATCGTCGTTGCTTAGAAAGTTCGGGTGTTCCCACGGAACATACAGAATTTGTCTCAAATATTTGTATAGGAGTAGCATGTGAGTCGTAATGCTTACTTGTTATATTATTATATTTATTAGTAGTAGGCTTACTACATATTCTTTATACCCACGATTACTTTGCCATCATTTATTATCATAGGCATTTTGAGGTGTAATGGCAAAATGACTTGTGTTGTACGCTAGGCCAATCTGATCTTTGATTAGAAGTGATTGAGGCACATTTTGTAAAACTGTTTTTCAGAATTGATAGGAAAACCAACAAGAAATGTATCAGTTGTTTGTCTTTCGAGACAATTTTTCCCTAAAGTATGTTTACAGATGTCTCAAAATGATCTTACTTCAGTTGTACTCAACTCAATGACCAAAATAAAGCTTATAATGATTACCGTATCTATGCAAATATATTAATAGGACCTAACTCATTTTTTCATGTTTGGCATCACAAGTCTCCTATTGTGACGAAACCTCACATATACTGTAGTTATGAAAACTAGTGTTGAATGATATTTTTCCGCCTTTAATATAATAACTATTGCGGCCGTTTGTTTATTAAACGATTAAAGTTTATGTAGGACTAATTAATTGTATATAAAGCATGATGAAGACATTACTTACTCCTCCTAATCTTCTTCTTCCTCTTCCTCTTCTTTTTCTTCTTCTGCAATCAAGTAGGCATGTTATGTATCATAATAATAATAATAATTCGCACCGACTAATTAAGCATGCATTTTCTGAAGGCATCACTTCTTTCACAGACTTGAGGCATCCAAACTGTACCATAAAAATTAATCTTTTTACTAAAGTGTGTCGTTGGTATTCTTTCTAGGTATCGCGATAATAGGTGCCTCAGTATTGATAGTTTTTGCTGGAGATGCTATAGTAAATGCCGACTGGTGGGCAGTGCTTTTGATCGTTTTGATACCGCTTATAATTATTATAGCTGCGGTTAATTTGAAGCTGCAGCCACAAGATCCAACTGTTCTTGCATTTAAGGTAAGTAGTAGGCCTATTCATATTATATAT